CCCTTTCCACTGGAGAGGCAGATAAGTCAGCGGGGTGTGTGCACGATGCAGGGGTTTAATCAACCCTAAACTGAAGTGGTGTTTTTTAAAACCCACTGCTCCAAATTAGGGCCCCTGCTTCATCTACACATGCCCCACGAGGGGATCCATCATCATGCCACTTTCCAGGGGGAGTTTATTCCAGTCTGCAAGAGACCACTGAAAAAGCTGTCTCATGCACAGATCAGCTTTACCCTTACTCCAGAGTTCCACTATACATGAGGAGTGGTAGAGATAACCAGTCCTCACAGTGGAGTTTAGATATGCTGGACTGAAGCACCGGGCACACCTTAGAGGAAAAAAGTCAGCAGCTAGGATCTGGAACCAACTTGCAAGGGAGGTGGTGCTCGCTCCTACCCTGGGGGTCTTCAGCAGAAAGCTAGCTAATCACCTAGCCGGGGTCGTTTGGCCCCAGCATGCTTTTCTGCCAATGCCAGGGAGTTGGACTTGATGATCTGCTCAGCTCCCTTCCGACCCTACCAGCTATGAAAGGCAGAGACCTTGAACTTAACTGAACATGCTCTAGAAATCCAGTGCACAGAATAAAGCTGTTCGTGAGAAAGGACTTCTATTTCATATGCTTGCAAGCACTTGAAAGGCACTGACTAGGATTGATTGCATTTTTCTTGACTTCCTCTTTCACACAGAGTAAAAGAAACAGGTATCCTTAAGAACACAGACAAATCAGAGTACAGGAAATCTCGACCGGTTCTTTCTTTGCTTTGAAAAGGTAGATACCTTTATTTGTGGGGAGGGGGAAAAAAATCTTGCCCACTATTGTACCCAGTATGGACAGGGCAAGTAGTTGGCTTAGCCAACTGTTTTTAATTACTGAATGAAGGCGTGTGAGAGTGGAAAACCAGCATGTTTCTCACTGATGAGATTCTCTGTGGAACGGCTTTTCCAAAGCCACTGCAGAGATGGCATGCACTGTACGTACAACCAGCCCTGGCCCATTTGATCTTAGTAAGTCCTATCACTGAAGCAGTACATAGCCTGGGAAATCCTTGGTTTCCATGAAGATCTCTCACAAATCTTTCCAGACTGAAATATATGTCAAGTGAAAAAGGTAAATCCTGTAAAGGAAAGCCCGGTAGGAAAGCACAAGAGAACTCCCGCCTCTCCTTAACTACTGTAGCAGACATTGGGCCATTCATTGAGACTCCCTCCATAGGTTTGTCTAGCAGAGAGGCAAGAGACTCATCTTCAACAGCAGCTGTCGTGTCACCTGTGCCAGCAGGGGTTGCAGGTGAGAAACCTCGGAAAGAAACTGAGTCATCCATCTCAGCCTCTGAAGCGTGGATTAAAGGTAAAAAGCCTATCAGTGCCGGTCTTAGAGCAGCAGGTCTCATACGAGGACACAATGCCTAAACAGCAAAAAGGCTGCAGCATGAATGTGCAAACTATCTCATTACCAGGTCAGATGCATTGTTCTGAGCTTGTTTACATCCAAATTGGCCCATCTGTCAAGCAGCCAGGACCAAATTAAGCATTAACTCTGATTTAATATTCTATTGGAAGAGACTCACAGAGTGTTACAGCTGCTACTGAAATCCTAGTTTAGTGGAGCTATTGAAGATTCAGGTTCATAAGAAAAATCAAAGCCTAAACCTCATGAGGAAATGAATGGCCCTGTAATGAAAAAACACTACCAGCAGGAAGACTTCAATATCAAAGTATGAATCATATGACCCATACAATTTCTTCATACCATACTGTTTCCTATACAAGACAAAATATATGTACAAGTCAGTGCTGCAAGTTACAAATGCACATTTAAATTAAGATACTTAATAGCCTGAGATCTCCTGAACACCTTTCAATTAGGATGCTTAGAAGCTTAAAAGGGAGAGAAGGCACATAAAAAACAAACAAAAGCTCAAAAATGCCACATATCTCCAGAATCTATAAAACTGAGTCTTTGTAGCCTGCTGGAAATGATTCCTCTTTCTATACTTCTATTTATTAAGTATCAGTTTCACTGTGAGGGAACATGTAGGACCCAGAGCACAAGTGGAAGCCTCTGATTTTGAAAACCATCAAAGGACTTGGGGGGGGGGGGGGAAATCACAAAAGGGCCCCATTTAAAAACCAGATCAAAACATGGTGTTTTAATAATTTTTCAAGTAAAAGTTAGTCAATTCAACCGCCAAGCAAATTTTGAAATTTAATAAACGGGGAGAGGGAGGAATCAAAATTAAAGGCTAAACAAAGATGTCTTAAGCCTTTTTTTAAAAAAAAAAAAAGCTTACCTTGCAGCCTTCACATGTAATGACACCATAATGGATTCCTGATGATTTGTCTCCACAGATCTTGCATGGAATAATTTCAATTTGAGCTGCAACAGAAGCACACAACCAGTTAATTACATTTCCTTTTAAACACCTTATAAAAGCATTCCCTGATCAGCATTTGTACAGTGGAAACTAATAACCTGCTAAACATTATACCGCATTAACTATTCATTGCTGAACTGTGAGGATCCCCCTGGAGCCTTGGACTAAATTATAGCTGCTCGTTATATAATAGCTTTCGGGTTATTAAAATGGGTCATTTGAGAAGGTGTTTAAGAAACCACAAGAAGGCTAGAATCAGCATTTCAAATCCAAAAAAGGACAGGAGAGATCACATTTTGGCCAAAGAGATACTGAAAGGTTTCCCTTCAATCTACTTCCTTCAGAGTCATTACAAAAGGCCATAAAAGCTTGTCCTGGCTGAAAACCCAAGATATATGAACAAAACACTGTACACAGAAATGTTATAGGGCCATCTAATCTATAGTACAGACCAGTTCTAGAGAGTTAAATGCTGTAAATACTAGCAGTATTTTCAATTAAAGAATCAAAATGCATATAAAAGTGTTTGCATATTAATACCAGAGCTGAAGACTACTTAATATCCAGGCTGAAAATATGGGAGTCCTTTAACTGCCTTGCAGTTTATCTTCCCTTATCTCCCCTCTTCTTGAGAAGACGAGCTCTGTGAAAGCATTGCTTCTTTATCTTTGAGGTAAAACAGACTATTCCACCTTTTCTCTGAGCCTAATCTGCATAAAATGAACAGTTTCAAACAGGTGGTTTTACCACACCTTCAACTCTCCTATGAAATCTGAACTTTCATTTCTACCTAGGAGGACTTTTACAGTCTTTTCTCTTATGCCTGAAGAAGTGTGCTTTGTCCGCAAGCTTGCAAATAAAGATTTTTTTTGCAATAATTTAGCTGGTCTAATAAAAGATATCACTTCTACCATGAGTTCTGATTCTTGTTGCTTCTTTATCAAATTTTCTGCACAACAAGCTCATCAGAGTCAAGTTTACCATGCTATGTAGCTCTTCAAGCACATCTCTAAACCATGGGGTACCCATCTGGCCAAGCAGAAATGATGTGGAATGTGCATTAACAAAAAATCTGTTCTTCAGACATAATATACACATCCAACCCAATACTAAATTCCTTTTTTTAAAATGGCATTTGCCAAAAAGCTGTCAATTTATATACATTTTAACCAAAATTTCTGAGAAAGATTTGTGCAACTTGGTGGGACTAGCTTACCCTGACTTCCATTCAAACTTGATCTGACCTGCTCCACATAGGAGAATCTCACAGAAGCTGGTGAAGTTTCTCCAAGTATAATGGAAGCTCTTACCATGATTTACTTACTACCAGAAGAGTAGTTTAAGTCCAGTCAAACACTGCCTCTAGGAGACTTATTTATTTATTTTGGTAACTTCGTAGCTGTCCAGCATCAGATTAAGACTATGATATCACAAACTTCATCAAGTACCTCATCATAATGTCTCTGAGTACCTTAATATTATTCTCAACAAGGGTCCATATGGTAAATCTTTCTGTTTTCCAGACTAGGAACTGACTGTTCTCTGTACTGTTAAGCCCCACATACATTAAACTATGTTATGAAAATGCTTATTATTAAGCAAGAAGCATCTCTCAACTCCGCTCTCCACTCTACCTAAATGCAATCCTTCTAAGTGTTGGATCAGGCTTGATAAAGTATTTTGGCTGTAATGTCGTAAGTGAACATGCTGAAATCTGCTCGAAGCATGTGGCAAATGCATGTAAAGTGCAAAGAACAGAGCAGGTACTGAACAACACTGACTTGCCTCTGAACCAAACAGCAGCTAATATGCTCTGCTTATTAGCACCCAACAGTGATGTGACTACCTAGCTACATTACTGACACTTCTGCATCAGTGCTTCTCAAATATTTTCCTAGTATAGAATCAGTTGCATGTGGTGTCCTGTCTTGGACATCTCCTAATTCCTGATGTTAAATCCCATGCTTTCCCTGGAGAAATTCTAAATGGCTGAAATGAAAGTGTCATCATATTAGGACTCTTAAGGACACAGGTCCTTAGCCTCTGAAAAACCTCCTAATTTTACATTGCTGCTCAGCTCACACAATGGACATAAAGGGCAGGAAGCTACAAAAGAAAGAACCATTGCTGCATATTATTTTATTAACATTTAATGTACATTTATTTTATTAACATTTAATGTACATTAATTATTTACTAAAACAATTGCATACACAAGTGTTCATGAAAGAAGCTTTGCAACAGGAAACAGCATTATCCCCTCTTTACAAATAGAAAATAGAGGTGTAGATATTAAACAACTGCCCAAAGCTGCACAGAAATTCTGAGATCCATTTCTGAATCTCACCCCAAATCCCAGCTCAGCACTTCAAAGCAATATTTGCTGGTGTGCATCACCAACCCATTCTAACGCCTGTTGGAGGTCAATAGTAAGACATAAATAAATGGCAACAAATTTTTATTAGTCCATTTTTGTATATGTAATCACTACCTTTTTACTAGTAGAAACTGATGTAATAGTTTGTATATCATCATCATCAACAAAACATTAATTAAAATTCCTACCTGCAGTCTGTCTACAAAGTAGACATTTCTTTTCATACAGTTAAGCAACAGGATATCAGGAGCACATTTGTGAAGGGAACATAACCACCTCATAGCGCTGGCCCAATGCTAGTTTACCAAGACAATAAAGAGGCGTAATAATTATATTAATACATTGCATAGAACATCTAAGGCAGGGGTGAGAAAATATGGCTCACAGGCCGGATCCAGCCTGCCAAAATATTTGATCTGGCTTGCAGGTGGGCAACTGCCAACTCACTGGATCTGCCCACAGTGGGCCAGCAGTTCCAGCCACTGCGTTGTGCTGGATGGACAGGGGGACTGCTTTGGCCCAACAGCATCAGACATCAGCTGTGGACCCGGGTGGGGCTTCTCCTGCAGCAGGTGGGCGGTGGTGTCAGTTCTGGATGCCACAGGCAGGTTCAGGAGCCCAATGGCAGAACCTGCTGGCAGAGCCCACAGCTGACCTGCAGCCCTCCCAGAGCAATGGAAGATCCTGCCCAGAGCCTGACCCAAAATCTGCCAGAGGTGTCTGCCTTAGACCCATGCAGGAGCTGCTGCAGCAGCAGGTGGGCTGTAGCATCTCTCTCTGTCTCTTCTCTTCTTTCTCTCCCTTCCCCACCCCCTCCCTCCAGAACCTGGCCAAAGCTGAGCCATCACCTGCCTGGCAGGGCAGCAGCTCCTGCCTGGCTCCACACTTGAGTGTCAGGGCCCCTGGGAAACTGCAGCTTCAGCCAGGTTCTGGAGGAAGAGAGGGAAGGAGGGGAGGAGGGGAGGGGAGAGAGATGGATGCAGCCCTTGACAGGTCCCCAAAACTCATTAAGTGGCCCTCCATCTGAAATAATTGCCCGCCCCTGATCTAAGGCATAAGGAAGAAATGGTTAGATCCTGGCCCTGGTAACATCTACTGATTGTTCCAAGGGCACTAAATTAGTTATAACAACTTCAGAACTCCAGATTTCTAATAATCTTTAATACGCTTACATTCAATTACTGTACAGCATTTAATACCTCAACTCTTCACTTCTGAGCTACAATACAGTTGGACAAAACTCAGAAGCATAAATTGCTTGCCATAACCAATTGTATTATAAATTAATGCATGGAAAGACATCGGATCAATTACTGCTCTAAGTGGTTGCTTGTGCAAATGCACTCATTAAAATGGAATTCCTGTCACAAGTTCATACACCTTCTGTATTAAAGGGCAGAGATCCCTTATACTGAGAGAAGGCAAACTGTCAGTATGGAGACTATGCATTTTTCTTATATGAATTAAAATATGACTGTCCTATTTCTCATTTTTAACTCTGCTGTGCAAATATGTGCTTACTAAAATCTTGTTCATATGCAAACATGACACATGGGAAATATTTTGTGCATCAAGAATGTTACAGCTTGGTAGCATGCATTCCCAGACTTACTTAAAGCTTCCTTCACTATTAACGTTAATTGTGCCTGTTTAGTATTTACACATATTTATACAGTATATTTTTCTAGGTTACATAAAATACTGTAATTCATGTTTTAGGCTAGAATTAGCCTAAATTACAGTTTACAATTCCAGTCTCCCAGGGTGGTGCTCAGACTGATTTTGGTTCGTGCACGAACAAATTATTTCTTAACTATGAATTGGAGAAAAAATAAACTCTTGTGGTTGCTTAGAAACTGCTATAGATACCCAGGTGACAGATGTAGCTTGTATTACCAGATTAGAGGCCTAGGAATATTCAACGTTCTGGAAGAACAGTGGACCCGAATACTACTGAGAGCCCTGTGCAAGGAAGAGCACACGTTGGCCCCTCACGACACTGTATTGAAAAGATGCACTAGAACAGTAAATACAGGCGCAAACTAGCCACGCTCCACCAGCTGAGCAAGCCACCACAGAAATAACTTTTGAGAACAAGAAGTGGTCACTGAAGGTCTGAAGCAGTCCTGAACAGACACCCAACAGAGGCAGAAGAAACTCACTAGCCACAGGGGTCCAAACGATCCACTGTGACCTCCTGACCTCTATGGTACCTCTAAGGCCCGCTGTCACATGACAAAATGTCACACTTCAACGTATTATCCCTGTTAGACTCCTGGGAAGGGAAGTAAAGGGCTCCTTTACAGCTGGGGAATTTAAGTGCAGAAGATACTGACTTTAACAAGGTCACACAGGAAAGACAGTGGCAGAACAAGAATTCAAAAGTCTTGTAAGTAGTCATGATGGTGTCCTAGCCATTGGACCATCCTCCTCCTCTCCCAGATGTCATTATCTTGGTTCTCTTGCTGCAGGGTGGTCCAGTTCTTACTGGCACCTTTATAAGAAGCTTTAACAGAAGAATCCTCCCTTCATTTCCTCCCACTCTCTGCATCATTCCTTTCTACCTTCAATCTCAGAAGAGTTTCCCACAGCTTATCTGTCCAGGTACCCTCTCACCACCCCTCC